CAGAACTTGGTCTTTCCATAAGACTGTCTTGTGAGAAGGGTTTAGCGTGACATGAAATATATATAAAGATCTTCTTTATTCATTTCCAAATGGCTCATGAGTCATCTGTGTTGGCTACTTGTCCAAGATACTTGTCCATGCTTGTCTTGTGCTTACAATTCTGATTTGAAAATTGAAGTGTTGTTGAGCTCTTCTGTCAGTCTGTGTAAATAAAAAAAAGTAGTGTTCCACATAAACTGTTGGAATAGAAGCGAATAGCTTCGTAAAAATGTGGTGTCTCTCTTTACATCTTGCTGTGACTTTCAAGCAGTAGGAACTAGTTGGTTTCACTCGTTTTCTGTGGGTCTCAATGCGGTTTGAACGGTAGCACTCCACTGGAGTTGCTCTTCTGTTTGGTTACTTCTTGCAAAATGTTGCTAGTCAAATACAATTGCACCTTCGAAAGCCTGCTTATAGGGCTTTGTAGATGTGGATTCGTCATTAATTAAATATTCATAGGGTACAGATTTCACCAAATATCCTGCCTGTTGTTTCTGATACAGAGCACTTAAAACCTAGTTTTCAAATACCTACCTTGACCTGGTTTGACTTTACTGCTGAATGTGTTACCAAATAGCCCTTAAATATCAGGGCTTCAAAGAAAGGCTGACTGCTTTGGAGCTTGTTCATGCACACAGTGATAACAGCGTACGCTCTTGCTTCAGGATTTTGGACTGCAGAGGTTGTATAACATTTACTGTTCTGAAGAATAAAAACTTAAATTGGTAGTGAAGCGTTTTTCCCCCTGTCTAACGTGGGGAGATTATTTCAAGTGTCAGAAAGTTTAAGGAGCACAGTTCTCGCTGACTTGGGAACCATTTTTTCCTAGAATCTGCCCTACAGGTGATGGCAAAGTGAGAGGAATTTTGACAGAACAGTTCTGCAGGCTTTTTGCAGTGCTCTGCAGTGTGCTGAGGTGTGAATGCTAATGTTTTGTGAAATACAACGGAAATGTGAAGTGGACAGGCTAGGGTTGAAGTGGAAAAATAAACTGTGAAAGTAAATTTAGATGTCTTGGAAACAAAACAAATATGAAGGGTTTGTGTTTGAGACACCTGTGAAGCTATTGTAACAACCTAGGAAGGTAACTGCTCTTCGAATCAACACAACTCAAGCAACAGCAGGTTCAGCCCATGTTACTCTGGCCAAAACCAGACCGAGTATCTGCTAAGCTGAGTGGGAGTCACTGACCTCTCGGGTACGCTGGATCACTCAGGGTTGGGTACCTGAAGGAGCAAATGTGTACTTGCTTTTACATCCCACCCTCCTCTGCTTGGTAGGATGACAGGCAATAAGTTGTTAATAAAGGATTGTCATTGACCAAATGTTCAAATGACAAAATGACCTTAGTACCAGGATTTACTCCTTATAGTAAGAGAAGTAAAATAACATCAAGGGAGAGAATAATTGCCTTACAGCTAGTGTTTATGAGGGGAGAGAGAAAGCCTTGTTTACACTGTCTGCATCTCTGAAGCATTCAACAAAATATTGTCTGTTCCCTAGGTCTGCTTTGTCATGAATAGGCTTTTAAGAATGATTTGTTAAAGTACTATGGCAATCCTGTAGCTTTAGCCTGCACAGGTCTGACAGCTTTTTACTCTTGATGCTGTTAGCTAGTGTTTTGTACTGACTTTCTGTAAAAAGAAAATATTAATTAGGCACTCAGTAGCAGATTTTACTAATATATGTAAAGATACTAAGAAAAAACCCCAGCAACCCTTCTTTCTCTAGTTGTAGTTGTTTCCTTCATTCTGTGCTTGAAGTAATTTGAATTCTTCGACCTAGGAACCTGAGGTTTTTTGATATTTCTTTTGCTTTATTTCAGAAATGTCTGTAAACTGAGCTGTACATTTTGTACAGATACCCACAGCATCGTCAGAGTTTTGATCAGCAGCTGTGGTGTTATCTTAATGAGTGTGTGCTGGGGGGAAAGCCCCAGGCTTGGTAGCCTAATGACTCCATATATAAATGTATTTTGTAGGGGGTGAATATGTTAACTGGAGGGTTTGGGAGAGTTTTCATCCTGATTCTGTATTGAGCAAGGGTATTTATCCTGGTTAAAATGTGACTGCTCTGCCTATATTGCTGTGATCCTCAACAGGTTAGGAGTCCTATTGTGCTGTTGGGTATGTCAATACAAGAAGATGGGGTTTAAGACTAGATAATGGGTGGAGAGGTGGTTGGGAGGGTACTTGTGAAATAATTCCTTAAATAGATGGGAGGAGGCACTTACTAACGAGCTTCAAGTGAAGCAGAAGACAGCTTGGTTCTGCAGACCGTGGGGGCTGCTAAGGTTGTAAGCACTGCTCCTGTAGGAACTGCTTATGTTGGTATATTAATTAGTCGCATGTGTTTTCCTGGAATTAGCACCACTGTGCTGATAGATGTGTGGTGGGGTGGAACTAAAACTTGGTTTACATAACTGGGTGTGTTAACTGTAAGTCTTGTAGTGGTCAAAGCATGCTGCAGGTCATTGCCAGCACCACAGAAATGTAAGGATTTCTATGAAAGGTCTCAGTATTTGCAGTAAGTAGTATGAGGGTCTGGCCTTAGTTAGGCGTTGTTGTTCACATGAATTATTGAAAATAGAATAGAAAGACAAGCGAGACCAGCAGTGTAGTTTGCCTTCCTTGAAAAGGGGATGAGTAAACGCTTAGGGCTTTTGTAGATTCCATAAATTCAACCTAAGATTCTTCTGCCAAGTGTTTGACTGAATTTTGAGATGAGTCTTGGTGAGAGACGCCCTTGTTCTTTGACAGGCCTCCTTTCATCAAAAGAAGCTTAACAGGATGCACGCGCTTAAGGACTCCCCTGCAGCCATTTTTTTTGACGTGTTTATCACATGTCTCCAAATGATACAGTATATAGACACAGTATGTAGCACCAGCTAAAATCTTTGGCAAAAGTCCTGTCACAAAAAGATGCTGCTCACATAGATACGGGAATATTGCTACATCTCTTCAGTAAGCAAGTACTAAATTTACTTTTTGTTGGGTACCACAGGAGGTCATATTCCTCCCAACTTGAATCCTTTGTGTTCAGAGTAGTGGCATCACCTGTTAAGTACTGTATGAGTGTTTTTACCCTGTGTCTTATTCTGATGTGCAGAAATAGCAATATACTTTCTGCAATGCAAAATGTGAGCAATAGCTTCATCCCTGTGCAACTCGCTTCAGGTTTGAGACCTTGAGGTCACTGTAGGATGTCCAGTGATAGATATGTGCAGGGTTAAAACCACTGCCATGACTTGAGTGCCTTGATGGTGCACTGGGTTAGTTGTGATACAGCTGCATCTTGCTTTTGGTGCTGGCTCCAGGTTTGTACTCCACACACTTGGAATATCGCAGACATAATGTTATACGTAATGGCTTTGTTACTGATACTGCTTGTAGTAATCTTGTTGAATAAATGCTGATCACGGGGAGGCTGTGCACATGAAAAGATGAAAGGTGTTTTAAAGATGTATTATATATCCATTCTATGCTTCAATAATTTCAGTCAAGCTGCTGTATTTCAATCATTTTGTGCTGGCATTAAGTACTTGTGAATACAGAGGCTGCCCAGAATGAGGAGAGGGTGCAATCTGCCTCTTCTTTTCTTTTCAAAAGCCTGTGTAGAGAAGGTTTCATGGCCTGTACAATGCCTTGTGAATTGCTTTTTTTCATGCTTGGTAGCTGAAGAGCGAGCCTCAATTCCAATTGAAGTTTCAATAGATGTAACTAGATCAAAGAAATTATTTTTTTTTTTTGTCGATGAAGGCTTAAATATGCTATTTGTGGGGTTTTGCTGATTTTTTTTTTTTTTTAATCTGTTGTGAACTGCTAGCCAGATTCTGCCCTTCAGTCACTTTATGTGGCCACTTTGCTATGGTTGTGGATCTTGAAAAGCTTGCTTAAGGAACAGTTATGAGGAGTCATGCTTCAAGAAGTGGTGTCTCCCTTAAGCTTTTCTGAACTGTTGGTTTATGGGGCTCAGTGTCCTGGGCTGTGTGGGGCAGAGGTACAGGAGAGGGACTTGCTGAGACATGGAGGGGGTTTTCCCTTAGTGTTGTGTGGGATGGAAGGACTCCACTGGTGGAGAGAACTCCTCTGGCAGTCCTATTTCCAGACTTCAGACTTGAAGCAAAGGTAGATCTTAGACAAGATGTTAAAGAAGCCTTAAACTGGGCCTAAGACACAAGCAGCTAAATGTGGTGTTGCTCCTGGTTTGAATGATTTTAATTAAACCAGAGGAATGGAACGCTATCAGAATGAAGACTGGAATAGCTGTTGTATATTATCTTTAATTTGGTCAGTAGTGTTGAGGGATATCTTGGTATACGGGTGTATCTTGTTTTCTTGGGGCTTGAGATGCTGCAACAATTTTGCATGCCAGAACATGACTCACTGAAGAATTTTAATAGCCCTGGTGAAAGAGGACCTCCCCCTACAAAATCCTTGCTGATGCTTCTCTGCTGTATTGTATTTGAGTCTATCTTTAAACTGTCTTTCTTGTCAGTTTGCCTGATATCAGGGCAATCAGACCGGTTTATAGCTTTCAGATTTGGCAGTTCTTTTTGGGACTGGTGTCTCCATTTGTCATTTCATTCTTGGGTGCCATCTGCCTTCAGATCTGGGAACATGGGCTGGCTCTCTGGCTGTGGTGGAACACTAGCTGTTTTGTACTTGGGGGGATTGTGCTGAAGTGCAGCAGATGGGGAATTTGTTTGTATCCTTTTTTTTTGTACTACCAGAACTATTCTGTTGCTATGCATAAGGTAATGCAAAGCTTCTTAGACTTCAGCTTAGATGACTGAGCGTGGGAAAAGCTGTATTTGGGACCTGTAAAAGAATACAGAAGCTAAATTCAGTACTGAGACTGAATTAATGTAGTAAGGCAAATGCAAGGAGTTGCAGCATCACGGACTAAGAATTCAAAGGGCCTGGTTAGTGGGATGGTACAACTGACACTTCAGATGGAAGATGGGTAAGGAGAGTGATTACAGGGGGTCCTGGCTACTCTGAAGAAGATACAGATGTTGAATAATTACCTTTTGCAGCTTAAATGTTGTTCTTAAAATTAATAACTGGCAAACTGTGCCTGTTTAGTTCAACTATATAGGTTAGGAAAGATGTGTACTGTTAGCGTGATCAAAGGGGTGAAGCAGTTTCTTACTGTGTTTTAGACTGCACTACGAACCTTCTGGCTGCTAGCAAAGGGTGCCTTCCCTTGGGCTCATCTTTACCGAGGCTGGCGAAAGCGTGACAGTTTCTTTAGATGCTGTGACTGTATTTCTGTCATAGGGAATTGCTGGCAGAGCCTATTAGTTCTGCTACCATGTCTCAGCAAACTTGGTCTTGTCATCTGCTTCATGTAGAGAAACAATTTTGCAAGAATGCCTTTCCTTGAGGCCAGAAAGGAGGTTTTGCTGCTTTTATGTCAGTGATCCTAGACTTTGGTCAACAAGCCTGTGCAGTAATACTCTTGGGATTTGGTAGATGTATTTGACATTTTTAAGTGTGTGGGTGGAACTGTCACCAATTCATAGTTGATTGAATTTATTTCTGGTATGTGATGGGAATGTTCTGTACAGCCAAGCCATTAAAACTTGGGAAGAGTTAGCCTTAGTGACCCATTGGGCCTCCTTGAACTCTGGAGCAAGGCGAAACATTGTTTGAACCCAAGGCAAAATTAGCCCTTAGGTTGTTTCAACCTTGACAACTGTTTCCTTTCGACTTTTAGGGCCTACCATTAGTCTTCCACTGACCTAACTGAAGAGAGCTCTGTGTAAACACTTCCAAGTGAAATAGGTGGGGAGAACAGTAACAAATTGTCTTAATGGCTTTGTGAGAATCAACCTACTGCAGACCTCTGTGCTGGTGCAGTAGAAAAGCTGAATTGCTGACACTAGTTTCAGGATACATAAGCAAATTCTTGGTGCTATGTGGGTTTCTTGGCAGACTGTGGGGCAGCGATGGCTGAACTTTTGCATTCAGCTGGCTTAGAGATACGAGACTTACTGTTCAGCCAACCTGTTCTAATGCAGTCTTATCCTAAATTTTAGGGCAGAATTTCATTTCCTTCCCTCGCCATGAGGAAGAGCACCTCCAGCGGACTGTGAGCTGGCACCCTTGCCTTCTGATTCTTGGCCAGAACTGTAATGCCAAATGCCAGTTACTCAACATACTGCTGGGTGAGAAGCTGCTACCTACCACCAAAATCAGCAATGAGGAGAATTGTAAGAGGCGACGGATCCGTTTCACGCATGGGACACAGACACGGATTAGCCTAGCGCTGCCTGAGCAGTACGAACTGGTCCATATGATGGCAGCCCACCGAGGGCACTGGGACACGATACCAGAGGAGGACTTAGAAATTCATGGGGACAGTGAAGATCCTGCTCACCGGATAGCGGAGCTGGAGGTCATGCTGCCGTACTCACTACTCAAGGTAACTAGGTGTCCATGTACCATTGTTGTAGTGAACTTAAGATATAAAATTTATAGTCCCTGATAAAGCTAATGGTGTAAACTCTCAAGCATAGGAACTTTTTTAATTAAAGAGAAGCTGGAAGTCCAGTGTTAGGATTTTAATTGGACATCACTGTCTGTGCTTCTGTGCTTTTGTTTAAATGTTGACTCTTGGCATTATAATTCCTCTGTAATGTTGCCATTTGTCTCAGAAGCCAAGCTTACTCAGATATAACTCCAAGTGCCTTCTAAAATTTTGCTCCAGTTTCAAGATCAGAGTTGGCTTTACTATCTGATAGTAGCTGTCGTATGAGGATATGTACTCTTTCAATCTCCGTCCTGAAGAGCTTGTCAGAAATGGCTTAATTCTGACCCCTGATAGAATGACCTGACTTCATTTGAGAGGGTGGCTTTTTACATTTCTGTGGTGTGAACAGAAGTTGAAGGTGTTAAGAACAAGAAGGTGGGAGCCTGTTCTCAGTGCTGTTTCTAATGTTGGTGCTGTCTTGCGTTGTGACCTTACTTTCACTTGTCCATGAAATGTGTTCCTGTCCTGTGAGTGTTGCAGTTTGGTGTTTAGTAAATATCTTTACAGGTGTGGGTTTTGTTTCATAGCTTTTTATAGCTTCCGTAAGCTTTCATTGCATTTCCTGTCTTATGTTGAGCCTTTGTTATTGCATTATAATATTTCTGGAGCATTGTGTTTTGGCAGTTGAATATCTGGAATAAATTCTTAATTCTTAAATACAAATTGTTTAAGGACCAAGAGTATGATCTGTTGTCACATGACTAAAAGTATGAACTTCATAGTTGAAAAATAAAATAGCAAGGTAATTTTTTTTCTGGACGTGTAAATCAAGATGTGATTGTAAATAGACTGGGTCTCCATTTTCTGCCTGTCTTCATCAGTTTGAAATATATTTTACAAACCCAGTCTGTAGTTAAATTTAAGCCTGTCCTGAAGAGATCAGCCAAGTCAATGTTATGTTGTAGTGCATTTATGGCTTCCAGTATCCACTGAAAGAGAACAGAAGTGCCATGTTTGTATAAACTGTATGTGAGGCATCCACTACTTTCCCAAAGAACAGCAGATCAGCTGCTGGTGCCTGCTCTGGATCTTCTGCTTGTAAAATCCTGCCTTGCTATGCATAAAAGAGTGTTTAGCTTTACATTTATTTTACTTGGTTACGTTTTTATGTGGGCCAGTTTAGACACACTGCAGTTTACAACCCTCTTTCAGATTTCTCATGTGAGTGACAAAGATGTCTCTGTCTGTCTTTGGTTATATTTAGGACACTTAGATGAAAACAGCTACTCATATTAATTTGAAAAGGGTTGGTGAAATAAAAAGCTCTTCCAGTAGAAGGATAGGGAGGGTGAATCACATCTAGCTTCAGATTGAGTCAAAGGATTCCTTACATGAATTCACAGGGCTAAAGGAAGGATATTTTTTCTTTTTAATTTTCTGATAGGAAACCATAATGTATTTTAGCAGGTAACTGGGCTAGGTGTGGCTTCCTGTTAAATTACAGGAGTCTGACCTCCTCTGGAGAGACCTGTGGTCTTTTCTACCTTTCTAGCTAATGTGTGTTAATGTTCAGCTAATGTAAATGTTCAGCTCTGCCCAGCATACACCAAGACAATGAAGTTTTTAAAGTTAAGTATCTGCTAGTCATGGATACTACTTCTGTAACTATATATATCTGGAGCAATAATGAACGAGGGTTTTTGGATACTATGCGAAATTGCATGTCTGCAGAACTACTCTGAAGGGACTTCTGCTTTTTCTTAATTTGTGAAACAAAGCTAGTAGTCTAATAACAATTGCATGCTTGATGATAACATATTTAATACAGAACTTAAGGATTTAGCTTTGCCCAGAAACCAAATAATTTTTTGGAAGAGCTCAGCACTTTTTGGGCAGTAGGGGAGGGAAATGAATCTGAATTTTACCCCACATGTTACCTAGAATCCCTGTATTTTCATGTTTGTTTTTCTCCCAACAGCAGAGTGCTTATTAGTTCTGTGTTTCATGATAACCTTACGTTCTAGGTATTCAAACACCTTACTAGTGTTTGAAGAAATACTTGGAGGTCCTTATTGTGGATTTGAGCAGTTATACGAGATGAGAATTTTGTTTGTGGGTTTCTGTGTTTGGAATCACGTTCATCCCCCATTGTGGGGACACTTATCTGCCAGTAGACTGCCGCCAGAGGAGCTGTCGGTGACTTCAGGACGTGGGGAATGCTGTGCAGCTTTTCAGGCCTACGCATCTCTTACTGAGAGATGTAATTGCGCAGGAAGGCTTGCGCACCTAGATTACATGCTGCTGTTTTGTGCAGACACTTAATGCTGAATCATGCTTCTTGGTGCAGATACTTGTTTGCTAAATCCAAACTCATTAGCCATTAGTCCAGTAAAGAAAGGCTAAGCTATTTCTAAGTTAACAGTATCCAAATAGTAACTAAACTACTTTTTTTTTCCTTGGAAATAAATTCAATACAAGTATAGAATATACCACTTCTTAATATTGAACTGCCAGTGGAGCACCCTGAGGTTTTTTTTCCTGTAGCTTTATATCCAGGATGGGACCATGCTTGCTTTTCTGTGTTACTGAAGGATGTCTTAATCAAAACTTGTTTCACAGAAAAGGGGGTGAGGAGGAGGGAGCCAAAATTTCATTTGCATGGGTCGGCTGCTGTGAGAACACTACCTTGTGCTAATAGGTATGTGAATGTAGCTTTTTTTTAAATGTAAATCATCAGGGTAGGAAAAACTTTGGCAAAGCTGCTTTATTCCTTGGGGATCACTGTGCACAGGAATGCATCTAGGTCATGGGGAATAATCCATCTAGCCAGACAGATTTAGATTTATAGTGGGAGTAAACAGTTGGCTCTTTC